AAGGGACTGATACAAAATGGACAGTGTCTGAGATGTGGGTAAGTGTCACTGAGAAAACCAAAGCTGAGAAGTAGACAGGGTACGTGGGTGGGATTAAGGGGTGTGACTTTAAACAAGGTGGTTGGGAAGCCATCACTATACAGCCCTTGAGATCTTAACACACTAGGAGTAAGGGGTTCTCCTCACTCCCAGGAGCCCCACAGCTGAGCTCTCTACATGCTTTCTGTAGTTCTCTGGCCTCACTCGGTGGGGAGCAAGAAGGGGGTCACTAGGAATTCACTCACTCTCCAGCTCAACACCTAGCCTTCATGTAGATCCCTGACCCACAAACCCAGAGGGTTTTTTTTGGGGGGGGGGGGAAGGGGGAGGCTCAAAGAGAATGTTTCCTTGTCTGTCTGAGGCCTCAGGAGCTTTGCACAGCACCCTGTGTCCCTTAAGAAATATAAAGGAAGAGCAGACAGGCCGGTCTGAGCTCCTGAAAGCAGAAGGGAAGGGGAGCTGGGGCCAAGACTGGAATGAAGATCTTGGATCAGGGAGAGCCACAGAGCTGCCTTGAACTCTATCACTCTGGTTGGGATTTGAGAAGAGCATCATATGGGGCAGGAAGGCACCCTGGGGACTGTCTTCCTCCTGTGAGTCATTGTCTCCACCTGCACAGGCACCAGCCTTCATAAAACTCCAACATGTGTGTAGAGAAGCAAAGCCCTGATGGTAACATGAAACCTGCATGACTATTACTGGAGACAGGGCTGGCTCTTCAGGCCGCAGGAGAGACAAGGGAGTGCTGTCTAATGCCTGCAACATCGGCTCTCTGCCCTCAAAAGTCCAAAAGGAAGGATGAGAAGCTCTGAACTTAACTTTAGACTCCTAGGGAAGAAGGGTTCTTACTCATTCTACTCACTGTGTGCTCATTTCACCACCTGAGACCACCTCCCAACACCCAGGGCTTGGACAAACAGCCCAGGGGACCGAGGGGCTCAGGGGAGGAAATGTACACGTGTCCTGAAGTCACACACTGACCAGCCCTCTGACCTCTCTGGGGCTCTCCTTCCCCAAATATCTCCTCCCCATCTCTCCACCCACAGTGGCTCCAGAATCAACCTGTTGGTCTCTCTTAGCCACAAAGGCCTGAACACTGCAATTTCTAGATTATTCCCAGGAAACTAGGGTGTTCATATGCCAGACAAGCAAACAGGCAGGCCTAGTGACACTTTCTGGGAACTTTCCTTTCCAGGTGCAATCTGAAGTGCAAAGGGAAACTAAGTCAAGGTGATTAATAAAATAAAATAAAAATTCTGAAGTTGGTAAAACTTCAAAGTTGGTGAACACTACCAAGATATCCAAAACCAAGCCTTTTACTGACTTCCTGATAAAATATTTCCAGCTGACAGCTCTCCTGACCTACTGTCTCTAACTTTGAGAATTGTGCCTCAGTTGTCTCAGGGGGGACCATGTGACTCCATGAAGTCTAACACTATCCCAGGACCTTTTACCAGCCCTGGCTGCATCCTAAACAATAACTATAATGTCATGGTTTTGATGTTATATTTTTCCTAAAGCACATTAAAATATATAACAATAATTTTTTTTTAGAAGTTTCTCTATCAACTGGGTCCTCATACTTGAACTTCATAACCATCTGATGGGGCAGCAGGTATAACCTGTGATCCCTATTCCAATAAAGCGGGACTTGGCCCCAGAGAGGTGAGGTGCCTTGCTTGAGGCCACATCACCAGCAATGGGAGAGCAGGAATTGAAACCTGTGCTCTGCTGCTTCCTGTGGTCTGGGCATACACAAATGGGAACTACTGGAACTGGGTAATGTGGATCTGTTGTTTTCCTAAGATCTCACCTCCCTTCAATTAGGAGTTCTCTCACCCAGAACACAGGAATCCTAAGTTATGATGGGGTTGCTAAATTGCTGTGTGACCTCAAGCAAGTGGGTCAGCATCTGCTTGTCAAGTAGACATGCTAGCTTGGACACTGCGGTTCTACTGCTCCGTTCACAGACTGCCTCCCCTCAGCACACAGACAAATCTCGCATGACGCACCAGCTTCTAGAGTTCGAGGAGCCGTCAAAGGAGCTCCTCACAGACTCAATGTGACTGTACACTCCACCACCAGCCTTTCAGCCTCGGGAGCAGTTAGAGAGCAGGCTCAGAGCTGCTCACACCTTCCTTTCCAGCCATGCTGGGCACTTCCTGCAACACCGAAGCTTCCAAAAAAGCACCAACTATATAAAATCTTATTTTCCTTTTTCTTTGGGTCACTATCCTTATCTCTGCTCCAGACAATCAGCTATTACTGTTACTTTTGGGGAAACACACACACACACACACACACACACACACACGATTTCTTGGCCATCACCAATAGAGAATCAAAAAGTAGTTCAGCTCACAGAGTTGGAGGTTTTTAAACATTTTGCTAAAGCAATAGTACCTTTCTTAAAAATTAAAATAGCTCTGGTTCTTATATCTATTCAGCAAACGTTTACTGAACACTATGTACCATGCACTGAGCTAGCCAGGGACTGGGGACACAGTGATGGGCAGATACAGACCCTGTGTCCAAGCTGCCTTCTCAGCGAGGCCTTCCTGGCTGTCCTGCTGGAAATGGCAGTCCTCACCCCCTGCACTCTCTCTTTGCTGCTATGTGTTGTCTCCATGGTTCCGGTTACCATTTCATAGACTGCATGCTTTATTCTTTAATGTTTTTTACTTCCTTCCCCAACTAGTATATAAACCCCAGGAGACAGGGATCACTCTTTTGTCTACTGTCTACTGCTATATGCCCAATAACTAGACAAAGCTTTAATACTGAGTAGGTACTCAGGAAATAGCTGAGGAGCAAGTCATACATATAACAACTAGATATATAAAAATTATATAAATATTTCATTGCAAACATGGTAAGTGTTTTGGAAAATAAGTACAGAATACTAGGGGTGCATGGTTGGCAAGTGGAGAGATGTACTTGACAAAATGGTGTTTTACACATTGAGTCTTACAGGATAAGTGGATGTTAGTTAGTCAGATAGGGTGGGAAGGGAAGGCCTGAGGAAGAAAGAAGGAGTGTTCCCAGCAAAGAAACAGCATGTGCAAGGCAGGAAGGAGGTCGTTATCTGGAATGAACTGAAAGCTGGGGATAGTAGCAGGAGAAATAACAAGAAGGCAGCACATGAGGGACCTAGGATGCCCCCTATTTTGATCTTATTCCAAAGACCACAGGGAACCCCAGAAAGGATTTAAGCAAAGAGGTACTCATCTGACTAATATTTTTAAAAAACCACTCTGCTGCTTATTGGGGAGTGGCCTAGACTCTTGTAGTTGTCAAGTGGGGGATGATGGTGGCCTGGACCAGGCTGGTGGCAGTAGAGGCAGAGAGCAACCACAATGCATTAGGGGTTCGGGTGGGAGTCAGAGCCCATCAATTATACCCTCCCAAACTTTTATGATCCCTAGACTCCCCTCTGAAGTTTCTTAATAATAGTGATGCCCAGGTGCCCTCTCAGATCCCAAAAAAATGAATCTCCTGGGTGGGGCCTAGGATCTGCATTTTAACATTTCCTGGTGTTCCAATAATGAGCCACATAGGGAAACTGGGTAATCCGCAGGACCGTGACTGACCCTTAGGGCCAGGATAAGGAAGCCTGTGTGCAGAGAAAAGAATGGGAAATCTGTCCTGGATTAAGGCAGAATTTGTAGAGCTAACAAGCACACAGACCCATGATTTTGGAAATCTGTTTTCCAAAACGTCTTCTCCAATTGAGCCTGTGCAATCAGCGGATGGTGCTGCACTGAGCCTAGGGCCCCTCACAGCAGCACAGCAACTGAGAGAGAAGTGAGCCCACATTGCTATTCCACCATGCACCTAATGCACTGTGATGAGGTACATCTGAGTTGCACTAACTAGCACCCCTATCCCAGGCACCCCTGTAGCACTAATTAACACCCCTTGAACATTTTCACCCAAGTTCTACCAGGCAGTGGCTTGAAGGAACAGCCTGCAGACTTGAAATTTCTTGCAAGTCTCATGTTCTAAATGCAGTTTCCACATTCTACTGCATAATTTATGTTTGTTTCAATAGAAAAATGGGTGCCTGCTCACTCACTCAATTATCTCTGAGCATGTTATTCACCTACTGACATTACCTGGGGACCTCTGAAAGATACTGATACCCAAGGCACAGACCAGAGACGTTAATTTAATTGGTCTGGGTTGTGCTCTGAAATCTGAGATTTTCAAAAGCTTCCCAGGAGCTTCTAACAAGTAGCAGAGATTGGGCTGTAAGATGCTCTGTTTTCATCTCTTATCTAACATACCTCAGGCATAGCACCAGTACCCACTTACAGAAGCTTAGGCATAGGCATTTACTACCCACTTTTCAGAATAGCCAATTCCTTACCAAAGACACTAAAAAGCCAGCCAGTTCTATTATTTCTTTCTGAGAGCTACCCCAACACACACAAAAAAAATCAATCACCAACAAAGACCCAGTCTCCCTCACTGGGATGAATGGCTATTGAGATCAGTGATCTTGGGTGGTGGGAAAAGTATGTTTTTATTTTTGGTAACCTCTAACTGAAATTTAACATTGACTGCAGGCAACAAAACATAGTACTGTTAGCAGCAGAAACTCAAGATGTTTTCCTATAATGGCATAGACACCTCCAAATATCATTTGTTCTCATTGCTGCTTTGAAATCATGAAAATTATCGAACCTCTTGCTGGATCATGCTATTTAATGTACTGATAGATAAGCACATAGTATATCATTACCAGGTCCAAATTTGTCTTTTTAAATGCTCTGGTGGTTGCATTTCACTATATTTGATTTTCTATATATTTTGGTAATCTAAGCATGGAAATTTATTAATTCTGAGAAGAGATCTGCAGGCTTCCCACCAGCTGTTGAACCTCTGTGGCTGGCATCAGGGGCCTGCAGAAAGCTTCCCAGGGGTGGTGGGCAGCTGTGCATCTAGCAAATGACACTTACCTGTGGGTCAGACAGCCGGGTAAGGTCAGGGTAAAGGTAGAACTTGATGCCTTCGGAGGCCCCAGGCAGCGTGACCCCTCGGATCAGGAGGATCAGAAGCATAACGTAGGGGAATGTCGCGGTGACATATACAACCTGCCCAAGAAACAAGAGACAAGAATCAAGGAAGGGTGACTGGTGTGGATTGAGGCAGGCCCCTAACATCTCACAAGAGCAAAGGGCTCCCCTGGACAGCAGTAAGAAGTGAACCCTAACACAGCTTCGTCTCCTGCCTCCTCTCCCACCACAGTCTCCTCAAGGGCTGGGCTTTCAGTGAGTATCTGTTGAGTGATGCTTGATATCACTGCTTTTCAAACATTTTTTTTTTTTTTTTTTTTTTTTTACCACAGCCCACAGAAAGAAACGTACAGATCACAACCCTGTACACATTGAACTGAAACAGGAAGTGTCACAAAACTATACTCATTCGTGTATATGATACATTCACATGTATGCCTGCATTTTCTACTCTATTCTTCCCCCCCGCCCAAAAAAAAGCTGGTCATGGCCCTCAAAATTCACATCATAATTAACCCAAGGGGCCTAGATCCACATTTAAAAACAAACAAACAAAAAAGCAACAACACTGTTTTAATGAAATTCAAGTTTTAATAGCCAAGGATGGAATGGGATAGAGTAGGAAAAAGGAGGGGGAGAGAGGAGCTGTTTGGACCTGGAAAGACCCAGTGTTTTCTGGAAGCATTTCAGTCAGGTCTGCTTGGAGGTAGGTAACTGAAGCCAATGAACCTGAGAGGCTCCCTCAGCCCAGGGATTCTGTGTAAGAATCAAGACAGTGAAAGAAACAAAATCTTTCCTGAGCTTCCTCACGCAGAGGTGCTTAGGACAGGTCAATACCTTCACAGACTATCGGAGTTCCTGTCCTGGGGGCCATGCGCCCCACCCGAAGTCCCTGCAAGACTCAGTGTTCCCTCCAGTCCTGATTTTTTTCTCTTTTGTCACATTCTCTCCTCTATTCACTTGATTCCTTCCTCTCAGTGAGACCTACCTATTGTGTCTGTTTAGATAAGCGATTTGTCAGTGTTTGGGAGCTATAGACACGCCTGACCCTCTGATTTCAACTATGGACACTCTTCCCCCTTCACCCAAATGTGCACGTACACAGATATGTGTATAAGCTTTAGGATGGTGCAAAGACTCTGACTCCCCAGATAAAAGACTTGCGCTTTAAGACCTTTGATCTTAATTCCTCCAGTGCTAGTATAGCCTCTCAGCCCTTTCCAAGTGAGGCTTTCTTTTACCAGTGTTTCAGCCCTTTGTGTCATTCATTTGTTTGTTCATTCGCTCACTCACTCGTCCTCCTACTCACTGCACACCAATAATACTCATAGGTACCAAAGACTAAGTTAGACTCTGGAATGTACAAGTAAGAATGAGTCACAGGATTGAACTTTCTGCTTCAAGAGGCTTCCCCATTGGTAGAAAGATAGACATTCAGGTAAGTAGACAATGCATTATGTAATCAGGGGGCTTGCAAAGGATGGTAGAGCATGGAGAATGAGTAGCTAACCATAGGGGCATTCAGGGAGAGCATCTCCAAGGAGGTGATCCGGGTATTGGCCTATAAAGGATGAGTAGGAGTTAGGACTTGAGAAGGAGGAAGAGAATAAAATTCTATTACATCCCAGGTGCAGAAATAGCTACATTTACATAGACTTTCCTCTTGGATTTTTTATTATTCATTTCATTTTCATATAAATTAGCATCCTAGAAAAACTGAAACAGAAACATTAAGTACAGTATTGTACACAACATCGGAGGGATTGAAAGGACAGAAAGACTATAAAGCAATCCACTTCTACTTCACATTTAAACAACAAACTAAAACAGGATACTATACTTAAAATTTTTTTTAATCCTCACCCGAGGATAATGTTATTGATTTTAGAGAAAAAGGAGGGAGGAGTAGGGAGAGAAAAACATCGATGTGAGAAACATAGATCAGTTGTCCCCCTTATGCACCTTAACCAGGAATCAAGCCTACAACCTTTTTGGTGTACAGAATGACAAGCCAACCAACTGAGCCACCTGACTGGGCAGAATATTATACTTTATATTAATACAAACATAAGTCATTTGGTTGCTAAGTGACAAAACAGTGACTTAAAGCCAGTCCTCAAAGGAAATAAGAGCCAGCAGGGGGTAGTATTAGTGGGTCCTGCTGATAGAGGCTGTAGGCTAGATTATATCATGCAGACACCAAACCTAACCTACAATACGGCACCATTCTCAGTCCACTCAGAGCTCAGCTCCACCAATTTCAGTACCCGTTTCCGTATCAACCATCAGATCAGTCGACACATCATGTAATCAGTACAAACAACCTCTTGTTGTCATATACAAAATAATCCAGAAAAGGTGAATGTAAGTCCAATATATAATACTAAGAGACCAACAGTTAATGATAATGATAATAATAATAATAATAATAATAATAATTAGAGACCAGCAGTCAAGATGAGTGATGGTTTCTGTCCAGAGAGTGAACATGCTATAAAATCTCCATTTCTCTTAGGTTCGTAGGCACTTTATAGATCTCCAGCATTTGGTGTAAATCCTTAATTCTCTTCTTCAAAATGACGCTCCCTCCCAAGTTAACCAGCTTCCATCTATGAAAAGTCAGCTAAAGATCTATTGCTTTCATTGAATAATTTCCACTTACATGACTGTTGTATGGCAAAAGACCAATTATCCAGACCATCCAGGTCCTGATTAATGATATCTCTGGAGGTTAGCTATCTTACCTCCCAATGTGAATAAATCTAAGGAAAAGAACTTTACCATGCAGAATGTAAGAACAAATGAAAATTATAGAAATTTGTCTTCCATCTATGGGACACCTTGATGTGACTAAACTAATCCATTATTATTTGACCTGTCAGTTTTGAGCGGACTGGGCCACTGGGGTGTCATGAAAGGGTCACCTTTAACCTGACCAAATGGATCCTCTCCATGCCCTGGCAATGTATATAGCGGAGGCATGATTTATTAAATCACTGCTGCTGATTTTGAAGCAGTTCTATTGTTCTAAATGGATGCTCAGCTTCTACATTACACTTGATAGCATGCCTTAATTTTTATACTCCTTTTATAAAACCCCAAGGGAAATAAAATATGCAGATTAATTGCCCAAAGACCACAGTGCAGACAATGGAACCACTGGCTGGCAGGCGTTAGCTAGAAAAATTCCTTTCTAAGCTGAGGCCTGAGAGCCTTGAGTCATGGTACAAAAGGTGGTTTAGGGGCATATTATGTAATGCACAGAAATGGAGTCAGCTCTAAAAATTGAAAATGCAACACCAAGGACAGCCGGTATCTGCTGCTGGTGCTACCTCTCCTAAAAGCCCCTCTAACCTGTTTTTACTCTCAGCCATACTAGACACTTGGGCATCATCTTGGATTTTTCCTGAGAACAGCTGTAGACTGTCCAAACGATACAGTTTTTGTCATCCGGAGACTGCACATAGATCACATGTATGCTGCCACATCCCTCCTGTGTTCATCGCAGGCATCGTTAACTGAACACAACACTCTGCAGCTCAGCCTGGCTGAAGCCCCAGACCCTCTACACTGGTCTCTAGTTGGGAAGAAACCCACTCTCGGCTACCCTTGATCTCGTACATTTTTCATGTGTGCTTACGTCTCCTGCAGGTCCTTTGTCCCTGTCCTCAGAATGGTAAGATCCAGGTGCTGAACTCAACACTGCTGGGTGTGTGATGCATGACACCCACAGAAGCAGCGTGAAGGCGGAAAAGGAGACTAGAGAGACAGGCTGGAAGGGTCTATATTGATGGGTTTCAGCCTTCTGACTGACAGCGGTTGGAGCTGGGTCTCCAAGGATACGTAGGAACAGGAGAGGCCATGCCAGGCAGGGGAGATGTGGAACTAGCCAAAAAAGTGGGAAAGGGCACAGAATGTTGTCTCCTGGGATGGCTAGGAACCTCCAGGTTGTTCTCCAAGTGCTAAAGCTGGAGACAGCCTCACCTCTTTCCTCAGGTTCTGCCACATTCAACCAGTGGTATCAAGTGCTGCCAACTTGATCCCCAACTATATTCTAAAATGACACCTGCTCTTCTCCCCCTTTACCGGGACCCTTCATCGCCTTCCTTCTCCGTCACATGACAGCCCCACACTGTCCATATGTAGCACCAGTTTCAAAAGCATATGCTTTCCTGGTCCTCTGGTTCTTTCCCCACACTCTTAGCCCCACATTCAAGGCTGAGGGATACAGTGCAAAGGGTTGGGCTTTGAGTCAGAAGACCCTTGGCTCTGCTATGACTTGCTGTGTGGCTTTACCAGTCGCCATCCTTCCCTACCCACTCAGTTCTCCCCTGTGCCAGTTAGAGAGCATGCCAGGTTCCATCAGGCCTCCCTGCCTTTTCATGCCTCCCTTTGTCCATAATTCCAGCCCCAGTGCCCGGGCCACCCACGGTGTTAGTCCTGGGTATGTCTAAATCCTCACAGCCAGAACTCCGTAAAGTCAGAGACCATGCCGTCCAGTTGTCATATCATTGACCTAACTACTTTATATGTCAGGCAGCTGAGGCCCAGAGTAATTTTCAGTGTTTCAGTCTCATCCTCTTAAGCTATAAACCATGCCATCTATCCAAATGTTGTTGAGTGACTGAAACCGTGCCACAGCCTCTCTGATCCATATCCCACATTCTTCCCCCAGTCACTGCAGCAGCCTCGTGGCTCTATGGCGATTATCCATCAGCTGTTTTATTGCCTCATAAGATTAAATATTTCTAACATATTAATTCCACCAGGAAAGGGAGTTTTGTCTTTTACTTTGCCTGCTATATCCAGAACAGCAAGTGGTATATAAAATGTGCTCAATAAGTTTTTGTTGGAAGGAAAAACAAAAAAGCAGGCTGAGACCTGGAACCCTGCGGTTAGAATGCAGGTCTGCAGACACCACTCTGTGCTCCATCCATATAAAATGCTGGATCTACATACAACAAGATTTGGAATATTGAATCTGATTTTAAGAGGGGGTGTTTATAAGGAAATCACGAGACATGTGAATTTAAATGAAAGACCAGTTCAGATACGGAGGGCAAAGAAGTATAGCTGCA